GCTGGCGCCCCAAACCCCTTGGCCTCACCTCCACCTGGCAAACCTCCCACTGGGCTGTGAGGGCCTTCCCGCTGGCCAGCCTCCCTCCCTGCGTCATAACACTCTAGCAGCTAAGGACAGGCAGTGCCGCTGGCAACGGCCGCCCTGAGCCCGGCGCTCTCACTGGTGCACCGTAGGCATCCTGAGCAGTTGCTGGCTGAGCCCACAGACGGCCCACTGGACCGCGTGCATGCGCAGAGGGCTCCCCAGGCTGGTCTTTTTGCAGGGTGGGATTCCCGGACCTGGGCCTGCACAGGGCTGGAGCCCAGGCAGCCTGGAGGGGCAGACAAAGCCGCCAGCAGCCGGGCCGCCCGCTTGACTCCAAGGTGGCTTTTATTTCCTCTTCTGCGGGTGCCAAGTCCTTGAACAAATATTTTCCTGGAGTGGAGGAACGACTTAACTCCTAGCCTTAAGTGCTGGAAACAACGGCTGGGGAAGGCAGGTTCCAGGAAGCCGAGGAGGAGTGGAGCCCGGCTGTGGCTGGGGGAGGAGGGGGCATCAGGCTGCCCTCTGGGCGGTGCCCACCCTGGCAAGCCCAGGGACACAGCCAGCTCGCTCTGCTCAGCGAGCCGCTAGGAGAGACTTTGGCCCTGGGCCCCTCTGCCTAGAAATCAGGGATTCCGAAGAGAAGGCAGGCCACGGGGGCCACCTTTATTTTTGCTGCAAAGGCTCTCGTAGGAGTTTGGAGGAACTAATTAGAATCTCAGAAGCCCTTTGGTAAGTGCTTTTCTCCCTTTCGCGTTCTTACTGCAGAATCATATCCACAGAGCACACTCCCCCGAGTGTGTCGCTTGATGGTTTATTAACATGCACACACGCCCTTGCAACCACCATTGCATCTAGGCAGAGAAGGGCCCAGCCGATGCGGTGCCCTCAGCCAGGGATTCCCGCCGCCTTCTGAAATCACCAGTTAGCGCTGCCTGTCCCTGGGGACAGCACCTGGGCTCTTCCGGCCTCTCACACTCCGTGTCCATGCAGCAGCAGCCTGCCCTTCTGTGCAAACATTCCACAGTGTACTTACCCATCCGCTCCCATTTGGGCAATCACAGATAAAACGGCCATGAACCCGCTCCTGCACACCTGTCGGCCGACACACACACACACCCCGTTTCTCACGAATCACAGGGTGGATATGTGCAGCTGTCACATGCGTTTCCAAGATGCTTGTGTCGAAGGGCATTCCCTCCAGCGGGGTGGAGAGCTCTGGCTGCTCCCCACCCCCCTGCCAGTGGCCCCCTCGGAGTCTGGCCTTTACGTGCTGTCTTGCACCCAAGGTAAGCGTCTTAAAAAGTGCACGATTATGTGGGCAGGGCAGCAGCTCCACACAGCTACAGTGAGCACACCCAAAGGCAGGGACCCTCGTACTTGGAGAGCGATCCATCCTGCTGGGCTGGACAATAAAGTCTGTGTCCTCCCCAGGACTTCAGGACGCCTGGGCAGAGGCAGGGATCTGCACAGGGCTCCCAAGGCTCAGAGCTTCTCCAGCCTCGATTCCAGCGGCGGGGAGCGGAGCAGCCCACCGCCTCATTTGGAGCACTTGCACATCCACGCACACCCACAAGCTACAACTGGCCATGGCTCCAGGACCGGGCAGGGAGAAAGCCAGGTGAGGGCTGCTGCCAGATCAGCTCCTAAGTCCCTCTAGGTCCCAGGCCAGGACCCCGCCCCAGCTCCTGCTCACTCAGCTCCAGGAACAGGGCGAGGGGTGGGACTGCTGGGGACAGAGGGGGCCTGAGGCCTGCGCCTCTGTGTAGCAGTTGTCCATTTAGAAACTTTCTCTAGTATCTTGGGCTGTCTCAGTGCTGGCATCCCATATGGCTGCCCGTTCGAGTCCTGGCTGCTTCATTTCTGATCCTGCCCTCTTCTTGGCCTGGGAAAGCAGTGGAGGTTGACCCAAGTGCTTGGGCCCCTGCACCCACATGGGAGACCCGGAAGAAGCTCCTGGCTCCTGGCTTCCCCAGCTCCAGCCACTGTGGCCACCTAAGGAGTGAACCAACAGGTGGAAGACTTCTCTTTCTCTCTCTCTCTCTCTCTCTGCCTCTGCCTCTTTGTAACTCTACCCCTTTCGAATAAATCTTTTTTTTTAAAGAAACCTTCTCCCCGATGCTGTCTGTGGGGCTGCCTGCCATCGCGTCCAGCCAGGGAGGGAGTCCCCCAGCTCTGGGCTGCTGTCTGTCTGTCCCCAAGAGGTCCCCATCATGGCCACTGGCTCAGAGGACAACCTCCTCTCTGGCAGGTACACCTCTGGGGGACAAGGTGAGGCCCTGCCACTTTCCCCCTCGCTCTGACGCTATTCCCCCTCCCCACCTCCCCACTGCTGCAGAGCCTCGAACCCCACCCCCTGAAAGCACCCATCTTTCCCAGGTCCCTCCGAGGCCCCAGGCTCCTCCCCTTTCCCCCCAGAGGTGAGAGCCGCACTGCTGCATCCCATTCCGGCCTCACCCTTCCTGCACCTGCTTGCACTTGACAGCCAGCACGAAACCTCAGAGTCCTGACTTTGGATCCTCCTTGCCCTTGTATGGGAGGCCCTTTCAGACCCAGTTCAAGGGCGACTCAGGCACGATTCCCCCCAGCTGCCCTGCCATAAGGAACAGAGTCACTAACTTGTCAGTCTCCCTGGGGCCTCCCTGGGGCTCCCTCTCCCAGAGAGCAGGGCACAGGAAAGACGTGCAGAGATGTGGAAATACTTCCAGGGCAAAGCCCCAGGGGCAAGTTAGGCCCAGATGCAACAAGGAGTGCAACATCTTTGGCCCTGTCTGGGAGAAGCTGGCTCGGTAGTTCAGGCAATAACTTGCAGGAAGCTCAGGGACTCCCCTAACTCCACAAACTGCAACCACACCCACACCCAGGCCAGACCCTGGGCCAGATCCAAGGGAGAGGAGAAAGGGAAATAGGGCTCAGGTGTCCCCTTCCCAGGTGGGATAGCACAGAGGTAGAAATCTTGGGAGTGTAAGAGGGGGCAGGTCAAAGGCTGTGGGATACAGGGTGGCCGAGGCCTAAGAGATGGCCAGAAATCGCTTGGAGAACCTGAAGCTGCTTAAACACCCTCACCGCCAGCTTGCTCGCTGTTAGTCTCACTCAGCTACGTGTTTTATGGCAAAATTGCCCTGGGGTGAGGGTAACCCAGCGCAGGGGTATGGAGCAGGAGAGAGGACAAAGATGACAGTGGTTTCACCTCTGTGGCTATGACGACAGGAGCAGGTGGCCTAGGTGGGTGGGAAGCTAGCCAGTCCCATGTGCAGGGGACACAGTTATTCAAGTATTCATATCTGGGTGGCCAATTTGACAACTGTGCCTTCACTGTCCACCCAGGGACTGGCAGAACATGGGCACGTGGGGTCTTCAGTGTTTGTGAACGAAGCATGGACCTGGAGGACTGGCTCAGCTTCCAAACCCCTTGGAGTCCAGTGTTGGGGAAGAGAATTCTCCACCTTGCACGGCCTCCCAGTGGCACCTGCTGTCTCCAGCAGGGGCACAGGCCCCCCTGCTCTGCGCTGTGCACCACGACTTGGGGTCTCGGGTCACAGCTGGCCCACATCCAGGGCCAGAGAGGGGGCCGGCAGACTGAACGAGACTCAGCGTAGAGGCAGCTGAACGCCTCGGAACACCGGGCCTTGTGTATACCGCACTCATCTTTCACTGTCATTTCTCCTTAACGTGTAGACAGGTCTATTTTAAAAATGTATTTATATATTTAATCATTTTGCTTGAAAGGCAGAGAAAGACATCTTCCAGCCACTGGTTCACTCCCTAGATGGGTCCCTGGACCTGGCCAAAGCCAAGAGCTCCATCCTGGTCTCCCACACCGGTGGCGGGGGAGCAAGCACTGGAGTCATCACGCTGCCTCCCAGGGCACACGTTAGCCGGAAGTCGGATCGAGGTGGAGTGGCCGGGATTTATTGAACCAGGCACTCCGAGATGGCACGCAGCAGGTTAACTCACTGCGCCGTGATGCCCGCCCATGGACAGTATTTTGACATCTTTGGCCCTGAGACTGCTCGGAGTGCTCATCTGTCGCACAGCAATGAGAGACAGCTGGCTCTGGCTGGGTCGGCAGGGAGCCCCTCCCATCCTCCAGGAAGGGGCGGAGCTGGTGGGTGCCTTAAGGAATGAGCCTGCCGCAGGGCCTGGGTGCTGAGGGCAGAGATGGACTCAGGCTTCTGTCACAGCCAGGGCACCGGCGTCGGTCCTGATGTTCGATGTTGAGTCAGAGCACAGCCCACAGCCAGGCTCCTGCCCCAAGGAGACAAGACAGGGCCCCGCCAGGCCAAGAAGAGACTGAGCCACGGCCACAGGGTCAGCTGTCTGAAATGCCAGGTACCGTTGATTGCAGGTACACGGATGGGTCCAGCCAGACTCGGGCCCATTCCACAGACCAGCGGCTGAGCAGAGTCCGGAGCCCTTGCCCCGCCCAACCCCAGACCCCAGTCCCACACTCTGAAAGTCCCAGTATGGAGTCCAGGAAACAGGTTCCCTTCCTTCAGCAATGGGACTGAGCCACAGGCCAGTGCACCCCTGGGAGTGGTCCCCAGAGCAGCTGGGACGTTGTCACATTAAATAAGCAAGCGCAGGGGTTCCTAGGCTGGGGGCCTGTGGTCCCAGCAGAGGCATGGAAGGACCAAGGTGTCTGTGGGGTGGGCCATGGCTGCACACCTCCTGGGACCCAGCAGCCTGGGGTCGGGCTGGGCAGGGCCGTCTCAACCAGTGGTGCCCCAAACAGCCACACTGAAACTGGCACCGGGCCGCACAAAAAACCTTGGCCGAACCTATGGGCCTTAGGAAGAACTTTACTCGAGACAAAACAAACAAGTAGACCAGAGGCCTCTGGAGCCCAAGTCCCTCCCCTGGCGCCCTACCAGAAAAGGAGAAGGCCCGGGGACGCCAGCTAGCCCGGTGCCCCTGTCGTCTGGAGGCGGGGCTGAGGAAGGCCACACGACCAGAGAAGAAGCGAAGGCAGGCAGTTTCACATGACTCCTTTATATTAAAGTTTATTACACTTGGAAAATCTACTGTACAGGGGGAAAAAAACCCATTGGATTAAGTAGAGTTTTGCCAAAAGCAAAAGCCTATCACTCTTTGGAAAATAGTCCCGACTCCAGCCCTGGGCAGAGCTGCAGGCGCTAAAGGTGAACTTGGTCCATGACAGAGAAGCCAGTGCCAGCTGTGCCCAAGATGCCTCGAATCCACCTCCAGGAGAGCGTGTCCCCGAGAGCTGACGCCAAAGGCAGGGGGTGTCTCTGGGCCCCCGCCACTGCCCTGTCCCCCACCACCCTCTCTCCTCCATCCCCAGCCCGAGGTGCCAGGATTCGATTCTCACACACGGGCTCCTCCAGCGTCACGGGGACCCAGGCCGTGGCCAGGGCCCTGAGATCAGGGACACAGGCATGGCTGCTCAAAGAGGTGGCTGCCCCCTGGCACCTGGACAGGCCAACCCGCCACGGGCCACCAGACCGATAGTCCATACCCTGTTGCACGCACGAGCGACACACTCAGAGACAAACACACAAACTAAGCCCACATGTGGCTTCCGGATTTGGCTCTCAAAAAAAAAATAAAAAACAAAAACAAAGGCTTCTTCACCCTGAGATTGGGGAAGCAAGGTGGGGCCTACCAACGCCACGCTCTTAACTTAACCTCAGAAGTAACAGGGACTACCGGGGCTACGGACAGAGACTACAGCAAACATGTGCAAAAACGAGTGGGTATCTACCTTAGCCCTCCCCGCGACACCACGTGGACTCTGATGGAGCCTGAACTCACCTCCCCCGCCCCGCTAAGTGCTGTAGGTGGCTCCGCCCAAAGCCCCCAGCCCAGAGTTTTCCAGCCACGGCAGGGCCACCCAGGTCCAAACAGTAAGGTCCCCTTTCTCTCCAGAGCTGGGCCAGGCTGGAGAAGGCGAGTCCCAGGGGTGCGAGGCCAGGCCGTGGCTGTGGCGGAAGGCCACGTCCGAGAAGCCCGCGGTGCCCCCGACTGGGCAGCCGTCAGGGGAGCAGGTTGGCGGCGGCGGCGTTGGGGAGTGGGTGGCGTGGTGGCGGGGAGGCCAGGGCCTGCAGTTCTTCCCCGAGGAGGCGAGTGGGGGGCCTAGTGGGCGGCGGGGGAGGGGACAGCCGCCGGGCCTCAGGCGTAGAACTCCTCTTGCTTGGTGGGCCTCTGGTAGGCGCCGCCATTGGCCTGCTTCGGCTCCTCCAGGGAGTAGCTGCCTTCGTCCTTCTTCTTCATCCGGTATAGCATGAAGCCCACCAGGCACACGGCAAAGATGAGCCCCACGAGGCCTCCGGCAATGACCCCTGCGGAGGACGGAGAAGCCAGCTCAGCCGGGAAGGCTCTCGGGCTAGGCTGCCCTGCTCCCGCCCCCACCCCCACCCCCACCTGCCAGCACAGGAGGCGGCCCCGGGGCTTGGGGGGGACTCACCTCCCAGCACTTCCTTCCGGTCCAGGAGGCCCTGCGAGGCCCCCGTGGCCCCCTGGTCCACTGGGGGCTGATTCCGGGGGTCAGGCTCCACCTCAGCCACGGCCGTGTTCTCTTCGGATGTCTCGAAAGTGAAGTCCTGAGTGGGGCGGGACAGACCAGGCTGTACCGGGGCCACGGCTCCCTGCTCCTCCCCACACCCAGCAGCAGCTCCTCCTCTGATCTCCAGGGCTCCCTGCTCGGCTGTACCCTGGGCAGCCCTCCAGGATTCCCCCCTGCCGCCCAGGGCAGCCCCTCTCCCTGCATCACGCTGGCCCCCAGCCAACCGGGGCACAGGGATCACTCCCAGTGCCAACACATGTACTTCTGGGTGAAACAAGCCAGCGGGTTTGAGCTTAACACTCGGAATGGCCCTGACGGCCTAGGCGCCGGCAGAACCTCTCTCGGTGGCAGGGCCTTGCGAAAGTTCTAGAAGCCCTCTCATCTGGGCCCTCTGAGGACTCTTGCTCTGACCTCACCAGCAGTCTGCCCTGCTCTGGCAGAGAGAGGCTCTAGGGGAGGGGGTGGGGGACCCCGTGACCCCATCCTCCCGGGGCCGGGGGTATGGGTCTTGCCAGGGGCCAGGCCGAGGGGCCACTCACCGGCTCCCCAGAGCCCTCTCCGGCTGGCAGCTGATTGGGGGCTCCGTCCTCGGCAGCTGCGTCGGTGGCAGAGGGGCCCCGGTCTTGCACACCGGGAGAGTGAGTGTCGGCGTGGCCCGGGGCTGCGGGAGCTGAGGTCCCGTGGTGGCCGGGCTGCACGTCCCTGTGGGGATGGGTGGTGGCGGGCGCCTGGGCTGTGGTGGCTCTGGCGGTCGAGGCGCGCTGCGTGGTGGGGAGCTGCGTGGTCTCCCTGGGTTGGGCGGTGGTCTCCTTCTCCCCAGCTACGGAGCCAGGCTCCGCCTCCGCCAGGGGTACGACCCCTTCCTCCACAGGCCCCTCCCCAGCCGGCAGGATGGGGGTGGAGGCGGCTGTGGCGTCGGCGCTGGTGGGTTCTGGAGCGGTGGACGTGGCCGTCAGGAGCCACAGGTCCTTCCAGGTGGCAGGCGTCTGCCGTGACAGGGCGTGGTCTTGCAAGGGACCTGCAGGCCAGAGGCAGAACGTGAAGTGGGGGAGGCCCCGGAGCCCCCAGCCCCCACTCAGGCACCTGGACAAGGACCAGGCTCTGCGGCCCTGGCCCGCAAGGCTGGCCACCCTCCTCCCATGGGAAGCGGGCCCTTGTCGAGGTTAAAGCCCACCTGGAAAATGAACGAGGAAAGCTGGCTTTCCCCAGTGCAGGTGCCTGGGGGCAGCTGGTCTCTGGAGCCATGAGAGACTCCAGGGCCACCTGGAAAGGCCCCTTCCTGTGACCACGGAGGCGATGGCTGCCTGACCCCCAGGGCTCACCTCTCGGGCCTCACCTGCCCGCTCCCTAGCACACACACTGCACCCTCCCTCCAGCTGTCCGGCCCCTGCCCAGGCCACTCTGGTCTCAGCAGGCTGTGGCCCCCCTTCCTTACCTCTTGTCCCCTCTCTGAGGGCCAGCCTCCTCCCAAGGGACTTTCCTCCCCCAGGGCAAGGGAGGCAGGAAGGGGACACTGACAGAGGACCTATGCCCCAGCAGGCTCTGGGCTGCCTTATGGCCCCCAACCACCTGACAAGGCCAAGGTCTTATTCCCATTTTACAGATGGGAACACAGAGGCCCAGAGAAGCCAAAGAGCGAGTAAAGAGGCACGTACTTGCAGGCTGCAGCTGGAAGCCACTGCCTACATTTGATTTCCGTGCCGACTGCAGCCCTGTGCAACACAGACCCCATTCTTTCCCAGCACCCCCACTCTGGTCCAGCTGGGTGGGCCAGGGCAGACGCTCACTAAGCTCAGGGGAAAGGCTGGCGGCCGCCCCCACCCTGGCCCCCCGGCAGCCTCACCTGCACCTGAGCCGGAGAAGTTGTCCGAGTCGTCCCCGGAGCCGTCCTGATCCTCAGGGGGCACGTTGGTGGTCACAAGCTGCTGGGAGAACATCAGGAAAGGGTTTGAGCGGAGGTTTGGCCAGGGCCCTGCTGTCCCTGGCTCCCCTCGCAGACAGCTGAGGGGCTCACTCCACCTGCCCAGCACCACAGGGCACGTAGGACGCCGACATGTGGGGCCCCACACCACAGCTCCACGCAGCCCTTGGGTCCCCCCACCCCCTGATGCGATGATGAGCCCATGCTGGGGGCGGAGCTGCAGGAACAGGCAAGGAAGCCGGGCCCTTGGCCCAAGGAGCTGTGTGTCTGCTAAGGGAGCCGCGGACCTCGCACGGGGCAGATGGAAGCTGCTGCTACCGGGACCACGGGCTGTGGACTCCATCAGCTGTGCTACACTGAGGTTCACTCTTGGGGTCCAGCACCCAGGGAGTCTAAGAGTGCCAACCCCACCTCATTCAGGAGCACCCAGGAATAAGCCAACAACAACAGGGATCCCAAGAGGCTGACTCCAGGTGCATACCGAGGGCCACAGGGGCACGGCCAGGGTGGGCACAGTCTGAGCTGCCTGTGGCGAGGCAGCTCCGCCCACCAGGCCTGTTTTCTCATCCACAGACCCTGCACAGGGAAGGCTCTGGGAACTGGTCTGCGGCCCCGAGACAGGTGCCGTATGCAAACAGAAGCCGCAGGGATGTGGCCCAGCCCTGAGAGGCTGCAGGTACCTGAGTGCACACAGATACCCAGGCGCTGAGCTGGGGCTGCCTGGCAGGGACAGAAGTCAGGACCACCTCTGCCCCCAACACTGGCTCCTGGACAGCAGGTGGAGGAAGGAGAGCCCAGCAGCCAGACAGCAGGAGGAGTTGTGTTCAGCATCGAGACGTCGACCCCACCGACCCCGCTCACGACCAGTCCATCTTGGGAGGGTCCCAGCTTCAGGGCCCAGGATGAAGAAAGCAGCAGAGGGGCTCAAGAGACCTCTGACTTCTGCCACTTGCTAGGTGAAGAGCCCAGCAGATGTCGGTACTGTGGCGTAGCAGGTAAAGCCACGGCCTGCAGTGCCAGCATCCCATATGGGCGCTGGTTCGAGTCCCGGCTGCTCCTCTTCTGATCCAGCTTCCTGCTGTGGTCTGGGAAAGCAGTAGAAGATGGCCCAAGTCCTTGGGCCCCTGCACCTCCATGAGAGACCCGGAAGAAGCTCCTGGCTTCAGATGGGCCCAGCTCTGGCTGTTGTGGCCATTTGGGGAGTGAACCAGCAGATGGAAGACCTCTCTCTCTCTGCTTCTGCCTCTCTGTAACTCTACCTTTCAAATAAAAAATAAATAAAGAAACGTCTATAGGGTTAGTCTTCCCCATCTGTAAAGTGGGGATTACAGTCACATCTAGGTTCCAGAACCACTGCAAACATTCAGTGAGGTCAGGCAAGCACGGGAGCTAACAGAGCCGCACTTTGTAAGCACCCGTAGCGACTGCTCCTTTAACTGGCAGGAGGAGGGGAACAGCAGATGGGGGAGGACAGGCCTCCACGAGAAGAGGGGGCAGGAGGGAGCCCCTTCATCAGGGGCCTCCACCTGCAGCTGGGCTCCCAGGGGACAGGGCTTCCTTGCCAGGTCCTGGCCACGGGCCCGAGGCCTCACTCCTGAGTGGAGCAGAGCAGGAAGGGACAGACAAGATCCTTGAGCTCCTGGGGCAGCCAGGGCACAGCTGGACCAGGTGGTGGCTCCACATCCAGGGCCCCAGGTCAGAGGGACACATCAGACACGTGCAGAAACTGCAAGGCTAGAAATAACACGGGGCTTCCTGTGAAAGCAAAACTCCTCCCCCCGAGAAAGCTTCTCACCCCAGGCTGGCCGTCTGCGGCCATCTACAACGAGCAGTCACGGTCCCCGGTGGCCCATCCACAGTGCAGATTCACTGTCCAGGCCTCCTCATCCTACAACACCGTCTCCTGTCTGCACCATCCCCACCTGGTACTCTGATGGGTGAGTACTTCAAAAAGCTCATGGAAAATAGAATTAAAAAGATCAAGTCTGTTTGGGTGCAAACATGTTTTGAAATCCATATAGTTTTTTCACCATAAACATTTTCCATGAACTTTTTCCTCCTTTGGATTTTACTTATTTGAAAGGCAGAGAGAGGGAGGGAGACAGAGAGAAAGAAACCCTTCATCCACTGTTCACCCCCTAAATGGCCCCGATGGCCAAGGCTGAGCCAGACTGAAGCCAGGAGCCAGTAGTAGCATCATCCGGGTCTCCTAAGTGGAAGCACTTGGGTCACCTTCACTGCTTTCCCAGGTGCATTAGCAGGGAGGTCTCGAACCGATGCCCAAATGAGATGCCAGAGTCGCAGGCAGCGGCCTTACCCGCTACACCACAGCGCCGGCCCCTTCCCTGAACTTCTGAAGACCCCTGGTGCCTGTGCTGCCTCCACAGAGCTCTGAGGATGCTGCCCGTCTCCGCCACGTCTGTCCCTCCGGCAACAAAGACTACCGCCCCGCAGGCAGGCACAGAGCAGGTACTCCGTGCCCACACCAGCCAAGATGCCAGCTTCACCCTGGCCCACGGCCTCTGAGCTGGGGCCCGGGACCAGGGCTCCCGGCAGCCACGCCTGGACTCTTCTAGCACGAGCCAGTACTGAGTCCAGGGCCTCCCACCCTGCTCAACAGCCAAGGCAACGGAGGCCTGCAGAGAAGACACATCCCCTGGGGCCCCCGGACAAGCCTGCAGGCGGCACGAGATGAGACCCAGAATGAGTGCCAGGGAGGCGGCCTCTCACCTACACAGAGAGGCCCAGGCACGTTGTTTCCCAAGAGCAAGGCTTCTCCCAGGCCCAGTCCCCAAAACAATTTGTTCCCTTAGCTCTTGCTCCCCTTATCCCTCCACTATCTTGTTTACACAACAAGCTCTTAAGCAAACCTCTTCTCCACTGAAACCAGCAAACCAGCTCCCCGGCCTGGCCTGCAGGCCCTGCTCAGGGGTGGGCAGCCCGCCTTCTGGGAGCATCTCCCAGAGGGAGGAAGGTGTAAGACTTCGCCCCGAGGACCAAGGAAATGAGCAGGAACTGCAGTTTCCGCTGGATCCCCAAGGCAGTCGCCGGCCAACCCCTGACCCAACTCGTGCCCGCAGAGGCTTCCTTCTACGCTCACGGTAACCCCAAGCCTTCAGTGCAGGGTCCCCTGAGTGTCACCTCTGACCTGGGCCCCTCCCAGACCGCCCGGCCACTGCACGGGGCTGCTTGTGGCCAGGTGGGCTCAGCCTGCAGCCCGGCTCATGCTGCCGGGGACAGCAAGAAGGATGGGCTGTCCACAGACAAAGCCCAGCCCCGAGGGAAGGAAGGTCTAGATTCTCCCACTGCATCTGCTCCAAGCAGGGGCCACCCAGAGCACAGACCCTGGAAGCTCGTGGATTTGACAACCCAAAGCTGGAAGGCCGTGGGGCCGGAGCGAGAGAACGGGGCAGCCCAGCTCTGCCTCGGCCACACCAGCAGGGAGGAAGCACTTTCCACCACCACCCCCCCCCCCCCCCCCCCCCGCCCCAAAAAAAAAAAACTTTTGTGGGGAAAAAGCACAACAAACAACAAAGGTGAGGGGACTGTCCCAGCTCCGGGCACCGCCCGCCCTGGCTGAGCATACCCGCCTCGGGGAAACTCGCCTGCAGCCAGCTCCAGGGCCACAGGTGACAGTCTCCCGGGGCAGAATCCTCATGGCTGCAGGGACTGAGCCACTGGCCCACACTCCAGAGCTGGAGCAGGAGCAGGGTCAGGGTCAGGGCCAGGAGGCCTCACCGTCCACTGCCAACCATGCCTAGAGTCTGTAGGCAGAGTTGGCAGAGAAGCTTCGAGAAAGCAGCTCCAAGCAACTCCTGCCAGCTCTCCACCCCCACCACGGCCGCAAGGCAACTCCCATTCAGCAGAGCCCCTTGGCCATCCCTGGCCTGTAGGAACATCTGTGTCACGGCGCCTCTCCCAGACCCCTTGGGCACAAGGGCACCTTGGCCACGCACCAGGAGGTCAAGTGGGCATCTCAGACAGGTTCAAGTGAGGGTGGGCGCTCGGCTGCTAACTGGAAAGGCTGCAGGCATGCCCCTCCCCCCATTCCCACCCCATCCCCCTGCAGCCACCAGGTCTGAAGACCTGTGATCTCCCACCTGCACCTGCACCCTAAGTCACAAACTCTCTAAACAGCGTTACTCACTGCCAAGGGCAGTGCGGCCTTTACAATCCGTGTGCTCTAAGCATACCACAGTGAGTAGGGTCACAGGGTTTTAATACCAGTGGGCACCAGCAGCCAGGGGCTCCGGGAGGAAAGAGGGTGGTATGCCAGAGCACCTGGCCCCTACCAAGGAACATATGCAAGTGCCCGCTGCAGGGGGTCCTAGGAAGGGGAAGCCGCCCTAACTTCCGGGGTTCCAGGGCCAGGCCCTGAGGCCGCCAGCTAGACTCTGGAGAGGAGAAGACTCCCTCTGGGCTCTCAGGCACTGCTGGAGCCCCTCACCTGCAGTCTAGCAGGCCAGGAGTTGGGACCATCGCGTGGCCATAACGGCCCCAGTGTGGTCACCAAGTCCCCCGCCTCTGAATCAACAAGCAGGAGCAGGGAGCCAGGTCACAGCCCCACCCCCCCACCTCCCCCCGCACAAGCTCTGGGCTGCTCGGGAGGAACGGGCCCACTGCTTCTGGCCAAAAAGGCAGGGTAAGCTCTCAACACACCCAGGCCACAGCAAAGGCCCTTGAGGGGCTATGACAGCTTCACGGTGTTTCTGGAATCGCGCTCTCGCCCCAGTTTTTCGGTCAGATGCATGGGCCCAAGGGAAGCAGCCAGTGCCTGGCCTGCACAGCTCTGGGGCGTGAGTGTCTGAGCTGCAGAACCAGCCCTCACCCCCAGCCTCGGCCCCGAGATGCCACACCACCACCTGCATCCCTAAGGACGCCCAGGACATGGTGCCACCGGAAGTCTTCCCAGCCCAGGCACGCAGGGGTCTGCAGACTGCATGGTGCGCCTGCCCTGGGAGGGAAGACTTCAAGCAGACGGGCTGGGGGGCCAGGCCCTAAAGGAGCCAACACCTCCTCCGCTCGGGTCCTCTGATGCCGTCAGCGCACAGATAGGCACCCAAGAGCCAGAGATCAAATA